TTCTTTGCAGTTTTTTCTGGTTTCTTGACTTTCTTCTCTTTGGGAGTCACTGGAACATCTTCCTTTGATTTCTTAGTTTCGACTTTTTTCGTTTCTTTTTCTACTCTTTTCAGTTTTGGAAGTTCTTTTCCAGAAATGAATTTCGCGGTCACTGTAGGTTTTGCAGTGGAAATTGGTTTTGTAGCTCGAATCGGTTTCACACTCACTTTTGCAGAGGGTTTCACTTTTGCAGCGGGTTTCGCAGTTCTAGTTGGTTTTGCAGTTGCTAAAGGTGTGCCCTTCTTTTCGTCTTCCTTGGCTAATTCAGAAATCATTTTCTCAACAACTTCCTTCATTTTCTTCTTTTTCCCTTTTTGTTCCGCTTGTGCAGCAGTCTCTTTCTTTCCTGTCGTCAGATCCTGGGCTTTCTTCATTTCAACACTTTTCGACTTCTTGGCGAATTTCTCTTCCGGTTTCTTCACTTCACGAGTCACTTTTTTCTCCTCTTTAACAACTTTCGACTTTGCGACCTTTGCAGGTTCACTTGTTATCACTTTTCGTTCAGCTTTTTCTTTTGCCTTGCTTTCGACTAACTTTTCCACAACTTCTCTCAGTTTTATTGGTTTCTTTAGAGGGATAGGTTGCTCTTTTTGTACCTTTTGTTTTTCAGCTTTTGCCTCAACTTGACCCAGCTTCGCAAGTTCTTCAAAAAGCTCAACACTTGCATTCTGTGGTTCCTGTGCTTTTCGTCGGTAGCAGCTTTTCCTGTATTTGCAGGACAGTTTCAGTCCGTATAGCGTTGTGATCTTTTGGACTGGACTTGGCTTTTTTTGGATTTCCGGTTTCTTGCTTCCCAGCTCCGGCAAGTTTCCACTCTCATAGCACGATTTCCGGTATTTGCATCGTATCTCTAAAGGGACCAGTTCCTCATGCAATTTGACGATATGTACGTACTGGAACATTTGACCGGGCTCAATTACGGGCTTTTCTCCGGTAGCGTAGCACGATTTCCGATATTTGCAGTACAGTTTTTTCTCATTTTCTTCAAGATCACTGAACTCTCTGTGAATGCTTTCTTTCGTACGTCTTCTGAAAATCTTTTGCTGGATGAATCTGTAGAGTCGTGGCAGTGGATTGTAAAATGCACCAGGAAAATGTTCAGGCAGAATGCCAGTCTCGTAGCAGGATTTGCGATACTTGCATGCCAGGCGCTTCCTCATTTGCTCATCGATCTCGTTCAGCTTCTTATCGATGATCACTTTCTTCGGCAACGGCCTCTGTGCAGCCAGTTTTTCTCTCTCTTCCACCTTCGCCAGTGCAATCCGTGCAATTTCTTCGATTGTTTTGTGCCTCTTCGGCGGCAGTGCTATTGGAGAACGACGGGCAAGCATCGGTACAATATGGATATTTTCATAAAGTCGTTCGATTTCGGCTCCTACTTCCTGATAACAAGATTTGCGATAGCGACAGAGCAACTTTAGCTCCGATTCACTAATCTCCTCTTTTGTTTCGTTGTCTGTTGTTGCCAGTGTTTCTGGTTTC